TATATTAGGTTCATTACATGCATAGAAAATGAAAGGGTAAAGTGTTAGCACTAGTGATCATTAGGGGTCGATTTTTTTATTGAGTTTAAGAATAGTTTGCTTGTTCGTGTATCCTCCATTTTTTAGTTGTGCAATTTCCAATATCATTTATCTGAAAGGATTTGATTGTACTTTTAAAAAAAAAATCAAGATATCAACATATCAATTGAAAGGTTAAGACTCAATTGCATTAGTCCATAAAATGGGAGCTCACAGTGCATGTCCCATTTATAAACTTGAAAAAGGTCGTACATGTGTGATTAGCACTCTACTTTACACACAAGCACACTGAAAATTCCTATCGACTTCCCTAGATTTTAGGAATTAAGCATTGAAGGTACATATTGCCCATACTCTATGTACAAATGCACAAGATCCAATGGGAGCATTTGGAGGTGATTGATATTATATAAGGCCTTTGCACATGCTCTCTTGATATATCTTTTCAGGCAATGTAGTGCTTTGCTTCCCTTTATCGTTATTTTGCCCTTCGAAGAGCATTACGGAAGTCTCTCATTTCCACAATATACCCCTTGAGGCATCTCAAAAGTCAACCAAATTCATTACCATATAACCCTCCTCCCACCCTTCAAGTCTCATCTCATTTGAAACAGTATACTTTACTTTAATTAAAAGTTTAAGGATGATACATCGTGGAGTGAAGAAGGGCTATGCTGCTTGCTCAATGACTACTAATGTAATATCGTCCATATTCTGCTACTATTTCGAGAAGTAGATTTAGATGCAGTGCATACAAAAATATTGGACGTCACCGCATTCTACTTATTCCTTAGCCCTCCATTCACGAAGTTGAATCAAACTGTATACAATTAATTAATTTTTCTTTTCTGTGCAATTACTCTAACCGCCTCGCCATGGATGTTGCAGAAATTTGGGCATCATGTGATGAGATTAATTGTACATTTGCTTGAACATCAAGTGATTTGATTTGCACATGATCCTTGGTACAATTGGGCAGCCCAAGTCAGCTCCACCACCCAAAATAAAGAAAATGCAACTTTGTTTGCACTGATTGGCATTCGAAGAGAATCAGGACGTCCCTTTACGTAATTCGAAAGAGTTCAGTTACCTCAAATTATCAAACCTTATCCATGTTATGCTTTTCTTATGCCCAACTCATCATTTGGCACACAGTAATTTATGGCCCCGAATGCAGAAACCTAGTTTACATGGACGGGACAAAAAAAAAAAGCAATTATAATTCAAGGAGGCTAGATATGGGTATTTTATATGAAATTTTTTAAAGTGTAGTGTATGTTTCGCTAAAATTGGATTGTCGACAAAATACCTTTCATCAAAGGTTAGATTTTTGCTTTTTTATGAATCAGTTTCTGGGGCAATTCGGACAGGAAGTAATTTGTAACGTTAGTGACTAAATCTTGGATAAAGTAAAATGCGACTGTAATGAACTGATATACCCGAACTGAGGAAATTCGTAAGCGTTGATTGATTGCGGATCCCTCACAAGAGGCCAACTTGGCTTTATAGAGCCTTTTGCAAAGCATAACCGTCTACAAATTTATAAATTATAGCTGTACCCGTGATTGTTGGCTCTGCAGTTGTTATCTTCAACCGGACACATCCTCATCGGATATTTCCACGAAATCCTCTCTTTTCTTCTTCTTCTGCTCATTCTTGTGTGGACATTATCCGCACAGGTTTCAGCTCCACCTCCTTATCATACTCTTGTAGCACCGATCCTCATGAAAAATTACCAAAAAAGTCATAAACCTATTGCACTTATACCTATAAGTCCTAAACCTTTCAATTGTGTTAATTTAGTGCTAAACATTTTCATGTTTTGTCAATAGAGTCCATCCACTCAATTTTTGCTAGAAATTGATGATATTGCCAACAATCCTACGTAGCACAATTGGCACTGACGTAAACTTTTTTTTATAATTTATATATATATTTTTTGGACTTTTCTGTTCTTTTTTGGCCTGAGGGTCAGCAAGGATCGCCTACCCTCACTAGCCACCAGTGAGGGCCAGACACCCTCGCCAACACTGGACGAGGTTGTGTGGGTGAGGGCATGTCGCCCTTACCGGATCAGGGCATCACAGCCCTCGCCCAGGCCCTCATTGGTCACTGACGAGGGCCGCAACATCTTCGCTGTGGTTGCGAAGGACATCGGGTGAGGGCCGCGACGCCTTTGCCCGTAGCCAACTTGGGTCGTCGGCCCTTGCATGTGGCCTTTGAGGGTCGGCTGGAGACACTTGCTGGTCCTCAGGCCAAAAAGAAAAAGTAAAGAAAAGAAAAGAAAAAAATGATAAGAAAAAATAAAAAAAATTCATATCATTATTTAATAACTATAAAAAAAATGTGAATGTTAGCGCTAGCCGTACCACGTAGGACCGCCGGTGACTATGTTATCAATTCTGGCAAAAAATGATTGGATGGACTCAATTGGCAATATGTCAAAATATTTATGACTAAATTGGCACAGTTGAAAAGTTTATGATTGAATTGGTATGAGTATAATAAGTTTTTGACTTTTTTGGTATCTTCCTCTTCGACATTAAACACAAACACTTCTCTCTAGAGCATCACATTAAGGGTGAGTTTGGTTCAGCTTTGCAAATGGGCCACCAGGAAATGCAAATGCCTTAGGCCTAAACCCTCTTGGGGATTTAAATTGCGTTTGGTAAAAAAATCCTTTATAAAACTACTTTGTCTTAAGTAGTGTTTGGCAAACTTTTTTTTAGCAAAGGGCTTTTGGGTTTAATTTTTCTTTGTTTTATTAAAAAAAATCAAACCCCTAGCTGATGCCGGCGAAGGGCTAAGGCCGCCGGCGAGCCAAATCTGGCACTAGCGGCCATTGCCTGAGGTCGTGTGACCCTGGGTGAGGGTCATGCAACCATAGGCAGCCATCATCGCAGTCGTGTGACCCCAAAGACGAGGCCTGAAGTCGTGCGACCCTAGCTAAAGGCTACCTAGGCGGTCATGTGACCCTGCTAGCCTCTCGTCGGCCCTTCACCAGCCCTATCTAGTCTTGTCAACCACCCTCGCACAAAGAAGATGAATAGTCACAACTAGGGGCAAAACCAGAAAATTAGAGAATTGCTAAGGGTAGTTTAGGAAGAAAAAAAAACTAGTTTTAGCATTTGGCCAAATGCTGAAAGCCCGGTGTTGGTAGGGCTTGGTGAGGGTAGTTCAGTTTTCCCAAGGCCAACATTTGGCCGAAAAACCACTGGGAAAGGCTTGCCAAACATCCCAACATTTGCTCAAGGGGCTTTAAAGGCCGAAAGACCCTTGCGAAAGCTGAATTAAATGCAAGCCAAGTGATAATGAACATTCTATCACATATCTCAATGCTCCTTTCACCTTGTATCGATGCCAATCACCTTAACTGCAAGCTGGCTGTTGTAAACCAGCATGCGCCGCTGCGTGCAGGTGCATCTCCTTGCTAGGATTTGATTTATGCACCATGAATACAACTGTGGAAGAGTTCATGGCCATAGAACAAGGAAATAAAGCTTCTTTAGTTTGTAATATGGGTTTTACAAGTATTGGTAAATCATTACATAGAATATAGGGTGTATTTGTTTAGTGAAAAATGAATAATTTGTAAAACATATTCCTAAAAATGATTATTTGTATTGCTTACAAAAGTCTATGAACAAAAAATATTTTTATCGTCAACGAAAATTTTTAGACATAGATTGTTGTCAATAACGAAAATATTTTTTGTTGATTAATTATTTTAAGTTATACAAGCAATCTTTTTAAAAAATATATTTTTCAAATTGTTTATTTTCCGGAAAATAAACAGAGCCTAGTTTCTTATTTTTCTGCACTTATCATCCCTAGCTCCTATTTATAGAGCATTCTGACCAACTTTAGTAACAAAAATCTCTGCCATGTCGCAAATATGATTTTTGAATTTTACCAAGATTTTTGTATTTCAAGTGTCTACCGCCATGTTTTTGGCCACTGATTTTTCTTATTAGTACTAATACAATAAATACTAGAAGTATCTACCGCCATGTTTTTCATATTATTCGTCTAAAAGGATTTGATTGCACTCTTAAAAAAATTAAGATTTAATTACATTGATAAAAAAAATTTGAACTTAATTGATTCCCTGTAAAAACCGAGAACTCATGGTGCAAATGTCCCATTTATAAAGTTGAAAAAAAAAGGTCATATATGTGTAATTAAGACTACATGTGTAATTAAGACTACTTTACACACAAGCACTCTGAAAAGTCATATGGGATTCCCTAGATTTGAGGAAAGCCTCATCGAGGGTCCACATTGCCCGTAATTTAAGTACAAATGCACAAGATCCAATGAGAGCATTTGGACGTGATTGATAAAATAAGGCCTCTGCACATGCTCTTTTGACGTATCTTTTCAGGCAATGAACTACTTTGTTTCCTTTATCCTTGGAAAGTTTATCATTTTCACAGGACGCCCCATCACGAATATCAAAAGTAAATAAAAAATTTTAAATTATGCTCATTATGATACATTTATTCTGAATTTTTTTATGATATAAAAAATTCCAAATCATTTTCCTGCTATGACATATTTATCCTAAAATTTTTCTTGTGATATAAAAAACCTTAAACTTATATTTATATAATACATTTATCATCCATCAAGATTCCGTTAAAAAAATTTTATGTCAAAATAATGTTGTTTTTATTTAATTTAAGTCACGTGGGCGCCATATCAACTTTGTTTGCTTTCTGGCATTAATGTAGGCAGATTTATAATAATTTTCATTAACAGAACTTTGACGAAGGGAAAATGTATCGCATATGTATAAATTTGGGATTTTGATGTCACAGAAAAAAGTTTAGGGTAAATATATCACGACAGGTACAATTTAGGATTTTTGGTGGCTTTTGCCATATTCTTTTCTATATAACCCTCCTCCTCTCAACCTTCAAATCTCGTATCATTCCAACATCCCAAAAACAGATGAAAATGAACGCTCTTCTTCTTTTGTTAATTCTTGCGTTGACATTATGCACTGAAGTTTTCGCTCAACCTCACACTCTCGTAGCACCCATCCTCCCATATACAGGCACAACCACTTCTCTCTACAGCATCATGCTCAACGGTGGGGAACATTATATCATTGATCTCGACGCTCCTTTCACCTGGTGCCAATGCCAATCCCCTCAATCTACGGTCGGTTGTAACTCAGGCGCATGCGCCGTTGCTCGGAGCTACATCCCTCCCTCATGTCCCGCAAATAACACGTTTACAGATGGTCAGTGTTACTGCAACGATGCGCCCGTGAACCCGATCACCAAGTCTTGTGCTCCATCGCAAGCGACCTACAAAGATATCGTCATATATTGGACAGATGGGAGATCTGTCACGACAGGTATGGATTTCAATCGCTTGTATGTATCGTGTGCACCGCCATCTCTTCTACAGTCTCTCCCTGAAGAAGTGATTGGCGTTGGTGCCTTGTCGCGGTCTTCTCTCTCTCTCTATTGTCTGTATTTACTGATCTTCTTGGCCAATTGGTCGCAAGGAAGTTCGCACTTTGCCTCCCGAGCTCGATTGAAGCTCGTGGGGCGATATTCTTTGGCGATGGTCCGTACTATCTACCATGCCACCGTGATCCTTCGACAGACTTTGATGTGGCAAAAGTACTCACCTACACTCCTTTGCAAGACGATCGGACGTCGCTAGGATATTTTATCAACCTTACTGGCATATCGATCAATGGGAAGGACATGCATGTTCCACAGAACAGCTTCAATTGCAATCAGAGCGTGAAGCTTAGTACTATTGTACCATACACTACACTGAAGAGCAACATTTACAAGACTTTCATTAGGGGTTTTAAGAAGGCTGCCAAAGGCATCAATCAAGTGCCCAAAGTGGAGCCGTTTCGTTTGTGCTTCACTGTAGGAACGAGCACCAACGGGCTAGTCATTCCCCAGATCGATCTTCTGCTAGGAAATGGAGAGAAATGGACCATCTACCCATCAAACTCGATAAAGCAAGTCGATGACAACATTGCGTGCTTGGCTTTCATCGACGGAGGGAAAACCGCGGAGCAAGCTGTCGTCATTGGGACATTTCAAATGGAGGATAACTTGCTTCAATTTGATTTGGATCAGTCAAGATTGGGTTTCAGCTCTTCCTTGTATCCTTACGGGACTACATGTGGCGGCTTCAATTTCACGGTTTGAGGCATTGCTTAAGCTACTCTTTCTTGATGAATGTTACGATGTTGACTTTGTTAAAAGAAAGTTCCATAAACTTGTTTGTGTAAAATAAAGCATGCCCAAAATAAACTCCCATGCCCTGGTTTACCTTCTGGTTGGGAGACTCTCGTTTTTGCATCAGAGACTTCGTTCATGATATCATGAATTGAATGGACTCGATAGTGTAGGGTTCATCAACGAAAAACAACGCAGCGGAATATAGAACCCTAGACAGGATCCATGCGTATATTGAAATCGAAAAGGAATTTCGATACGTACCTTTTGCAGATCAAAGATAAATCAGCAACTGATTGTGTCTGGATGAGCGCCCCAAGTGTTGCGCCTCTACCGGTATCCACACACACGAACGGAATTCTCCAACGATCCACGTGCTAGCGAAAGATCTTGAAGTTCCTTTTTCTTGAACGCCTTTTGCTTTTCGATACTCTGTCGAAAAAACCTTAGACAGAGAACGATTCTCTATCTATTTATACAGCCTCATTATCTAGCGGAATTAAAAGAAGTGGGCCGGGCTATTTGGGCCCGCCAAACTGTTCACCTTCAATCATACGTTTAATCGTTATCTCATAACGCGTACGACCGCATAGATAATTTAAATAGGAGAATAAATTAAAATCTTACTTCTTAAGTAGATCAAGGCGCATAGACAATATTAAGTCCGTTCGCTATTATGTGCGACCCTGTAGGTTCACTAAACATTAGCAGTGTGCCCAAAACTCTTTTGGCCCACAAGTCATAAGCGGTCTCTAGCAATACATTATGACTACCTAAGTATAGTGAAGATCGGTTTTCCGACACAACCTAATCCACAACTAATATTAGAGTATCAACCTTGATTGATTCTTAGGGCAGACCACTAACAGATAGTTGCCGTCAATTCATGCATTTTAGGTTATCAAATCCAGTGTGTCTCATTGCAAATATTTTGTCACTCGTCATTAATTTCAATCTTCTCAGTACTAATGAATTTTAGATGGCTAAGGGCATGTTTGGTAACTTGCCAAATAGTGAAAATTTCTGTTCTTTTGTTCCCAGAATCAGTTTGCGAACAGAAATCCGTTTGTTAAATTTTTTGTCTGGGCACAATTTTGTAAAAAATTGTTCTCAGAATCAGTTTTGGAACAGAATCAAGAAGAAAAAAAAAGTAGCTTCTTGATTCTGGAACAATTTTTCCAGAACTAATTCTTCTTGGTTTTTTTTCTTTTTTTTTTGTTTGTTGTTGTTCTTTAGCTTGCCGCCCGCACCCGCCGGCCCCCGCAGCCGGCCGCCAGCCACAGGCCAGGGCCGACGAGGGCGTCATGGCCCTCACTGGTGGCCGGCGAGGGTCCCCCTCACAGCCTGGGCGAGGGCGGCTTGCCGTCGCGACGGCGAGGCCTCGCCCAGGCGAGGCGAGGCCCGCCCAGTCGAGGCGAGGCCGGCCTCACCGTCGCCACCCAGGTCCGTCACCTGGGTGGCGACGACAAGGGCTGCCTCGCCAGATCTAGGCGAGGTTGAGCCTTGCCCAGCCAAGGCTAGGCCGACCTCATCGTCGCCACCGGCGAGGGCCACGACGCCCTCGCCGGCCATGGCCAAGGAAAAAGATGGGAAAGAAAGAACAAAAAAAGAAAAAAAAGACAGAAAAATTAAAAAAATTCAAAATATTATTAATAAAATGAAATTTTGTGTAGTTACCAAACGCATTTCTGTTCTTTTTCTATTTTAAGAATCGAAATTTTGGGCAGTTACCAAATGCCTTCAAAATTTTGGGCATTTCTGTTCTTTTTCTATTGTTCCCGGATACAGAATAAAAAAGAATCATTTCTGAGCAGAATTTGTTCCCGGGCACAGAATGGTTGCCTTGCGTAGCCTAAGTTTGCAGATTGGAATAGTAGAAAATATGTCTGCAAGTGGTTTTCTTCTACCTAATTCTCTAAAAAACCCTCCAACTTTAGCTTTTATCCTAATTTTACCTTTTATTTCGTAAAAAACCTCAAACTTTAGGTCCAGCCCTAATTTTACCACAAAATTTTTTTTGTACCATAAAAAACCCTCAACTTTAGGTCATATCCCAATTCTAGCCTAAACTTTTTTTCGTCGTTTGAAAAACCCCAAACTTTAGGTCTTGTCTAATTTACCGTTCAATTCCAATTTTTCCATAAATTTTTACAGTCTCATACAAAACCACAAATTTTTACTTAAGTCACAAATCTTCCCCCATTAACCCTACGTCCAAAATTTTTCATTAACAACCGAGAGATGGAAAACTCCACAAGCACGAGCTATTCGAGTGTCTGAACAGGAGGTCTCCGACCATGAGAGATGGAACATTTCCAAGCACGAGAGATTGACAAGCACAATATCACTAAAAGAGAAAAAAGAAAAGGTAAAGAAGGAAAAAGAAGAAAAGAATAGAAATAATAAAATATTAAAAAATATAAAATATTTAAAAAATTGTCCGTTATTGCCGGCGTGCCACATAAAATGGCTAGCGTCCACATCAGTAATTTCCGGTTAAAAATTGGCTGGATGGACTTAATAGGCAAAATGTGAAAATGTTTATGACTTAATTGGCAAAATTAAAAGGTTTATGACTAAATTGGCAAAAATACAATATGTTTAGGACTTTTAGGACAATTTTCTCCTTGCCGGCTAGGTTTCACATTTTAACGCAATCATAAGAGGAGAGAAAGGAGCGAAATGTACGGGGAAGAGTATGGGTTGGTAAAAAAGAATTGGTAAGAAAAAGATGCATTTTTGGCATTTTTGTTGGAGAAAGATATGATTTGATCCTTGACTCCGATTCTAATCACGGAGATTGAAGATTAATTAATTTGATCGAGCGAGAAAAAATAGGAAAATGTATCATGGTTATTCTTTCTTCGATTTCCTTTTGTACTATAAATAGTGGTATGTACATGTGCAGAACACATAAGACAGAATACACAAATTTCCAACATTCTTCCTTCTTTCTAATTTCTGTCATGGTATCATAGCTTTCGGTTCTGAACTAGCTTCCGCAAATTTTTCCGAATTGCCCCCGATAGCTCTCTAATTTCGTTGTTGCAAAACTCATCCGGCAAAACGAATTAGCACTTCGGGTAGGAATTCAAATATTGTCCAGCAAACCCAGTTCTGCACATTAGATACATCATGCCAAAGAATCAGAACAAAAGCCCAACCACTAGTGAAAATCAAGAAACAATCGTGCCTCCAATGGAGGAATCGTCCAACAACTCACCTCAGAATCAGACTTTAGACCAAGTGACCTGACGCACAATGAACGGGATTCTGTCCAACAACATCCCCCGGCTCCAATGCCAATTCCAGTTCAACCTTCCGGCCATATCCAGTGGTCACCAATGCAATGGATTCCAATTCAAGGCCATTGGGCCATTGGGGCAAATCAACAGTGGGGTTAACAAAACCCACTCATGGAAGATGTGAATACTGGACTTGGGGCTCAGTTTAGTCCAGGTGGGCATGCCTCAGCCACCCTCGGAGCCCAGCCCAATGGACCCGGATGGCCGCCTTCGGATCACAATTCATCGAGTCAAAGGGTGAATCCCTACCCGGGATTACAATCCGATTTTTACTCGTATGCAGTTTTGGCCGCCAGTAGCCAACCGGAACCCAGCGACGTGCTTTACACATTGCCGGCTGACGGACCGGAGCTCCAGCTCATCAACTTGCAACTCACCGGTCCCGATAACTACAATGCATGGGCTCGAGATTTCCAGCGAGCCCTCGTTACCAAGGACAAGGATGGATTCCTTGATGGCATCGTGCCTTTCCCGACCGACGACCGAATGTAACGATATTGGCGCAAATGCAACCAACTCGTGAGTACCTGGATTGGGAACTGCATAGCCCCCGACATTGCCGTCGGCCTCCCACCAACTGAAGACTCAAAGAAAATATGGGATAGCATCCGGGAAATGTATGGAAAAATGGACCGAGCAAAGCAAGGGAACCTCCCGGTTACCGCTTGCTTCAACCGACTCTCGACTCTGTGGAACGAGCTTGAGGCGGCTGAAGAGGAGCTTCAACGGCCCGAATCGACACTGGAACAGTATAGAAAAATTCGGGAAAGAAAGAAGGTGACTCGTTTTTTGTTGATCTTGAACAAAAGTTACTTACCGTTTCGATCGCAGATTCTCGCCATGGATTCTGTCCCTTCGCTTGACCGGATCTATCAGTTAGCCGTGCAAGAGGAAAACCAACGGTTGGCCGCGACGAAATACGTGAACATAGGAGAGAGTGTGACGCTCGCTGCTCCGGCGGGGCCATCGCAATGAGCATCCAGCGCTCTCGGACCACTGCTGCCGCCGCAAGCTCTGAGCTCATTCGGGTCACACGCGAGAAACCCTCCTCGCTTGGAAGAAGATGACCCTAATATTAAGGTTATGAGAACCGATGGTCCAGATCATAAGAAGGGATCCGACGGCTCATATTCCATCATCCATGCGGCTGAATTGGGCAGTCCTCATCAGGCCACATTAGCCCCGGTTTTCAAACCATCTAGTGGTCCACGGAGCGCCACATCAGCTAGAGGAAATGGGCAGAATTTTAAAAATAAAGGTAAATATTGTGATTATTGCAAACGCCCACATCACACTATTGATACCTGCTGGAAATTGCGTGGAAAACCGAGTGATAAAGAGAAAAGGGAGAAGGATTTTTTTGCTTATCAGGTTTTAGCACAAGGAACTGAAAGGGCAAATCAGACCATTACTAATGATCAATACCGGCATATCATGAGGGCATTGAATCAATTAAAGGTTGCAGACAAAGCTGCAAGTTTTTTAGGTACATCTTTTTCCAAGAATGATAATATTCCAGTTGATGCATGGATAATCGACTCAGGTGCTAGTGATCGTATAATTTGTGATGAGAAAATTTGTGATCACCAAACAACCCATCCTAATGTATTTGTTCGTCTTCCCAATGGTATTGTCACTCATGTTAACAAAATCGGAACAGTTTAGCTTACTCCAAACATTATTCTTAAAAATGTCCTTTACGTTCCTGAATTTGTATTCAATCTTATATCAGTTTGCAAGATCTATGAAGACAACTTTTGTCAAGTCATA